TTAAAATGGGAAAGGTGAGCTGCCGTTTGGAGAGGCTTCTTGTGCCTGACTATAGATAGGGGATGCTGGGATGTGAGAGCACATCTGAGGTCTCAGCAGAGGCCCTAGCTGTCTTCACTCTCTTCATTAATAGTTCTGGCAATGAGGAGTAGCCATTGCAGATCTCTTCTCATTTTGTTTGTGAATTATAAAATCAATACACACTGGTAGCCCCAAACTACAAGCAGCCCAGATGTCCATCAACAGTGTGATAATTAAACTGTGGTATATTTATGCTGTTATAAAAAAAATAAGCTATTCGCTATTCACAATAGCCAAGACATGGAAACAACTGAAATGCCCATCAGTAGATGACTGGATTAAGAAACTGTGGTATGTTTATACAATGGAGTATTACTCAGCCATAAAGATGAATGAAATCTTACCATTTGCAACGATATGAATGGACCTAGAGAACATTATACTAAGTGAAATAAGTCAGACGGAGAAAGACAAATACCATATGATCTCACTTATATGTTGAATCTAAAGAATAGAATAAATGAACAAACTAATCAGAAACAGTCTCAGAGATATAGAGAAAAAACTGATGGTTGCTAGATGGGTGGGGGGTGGAGATGGGGGAGAAGAGGAGGGGGTTAGAAAGCACAAATGGGTATTCACAATATTGCCACAGGGACATGAAAGACAGTTTGGGGAATATAATCAATAATGTTGTAAAGATTTTGTAGGATATCCAATGATCACTTGTCTTATTAGGGAGACCACTTCATGGATGGTGTAGATGCCTGACCACTGTGTGTACACCTGAAGCTGAAGCTGAATAATAATGAATGTCAATTATAATATTATATATATGGTTACAGGATGTGGAGTATAGCATAGGGAATAGAGTCAGTGGAACTGTAACAGCTATATATGATGTCAGAGGGGTAGTAGATTGGGGGGAGGGGATTATCACTTTGTGGGGGGTATAAATATCTACCTGATACATTGTTTTGTACACCTGAAACTAATTTTAAAAAAGGTATAATTCAGAGAGTAAAAATTAAGACCTGAAAAAAAAAGAGCTTTTGATGCAATGAAAAACATCAAGAAATCTTTAAGAAAATCCTTGCATAAAAGACTGCACACTATATGATTTCACTTATAAGAAGTTTCTAGGACAGGCTAAACCAACATATGGAAGAGAAGCTTAGAGCAGTGATTGCCCCTGGGTGAGATGGAGGGCACAAGAGAACTTTCTGAGAGGCTGGAAGTGCTGTTAGTCATGGCTGCAGTTTGGGTTACACAGGTGTATGCATTTCTTATAACACATTGAATGGTGCGGTTATGATTTATGAATTTCACCATATGTAAAAGTAAAAGACCCATGAACTATAACTGAACCCTATTTAACACTTAACAGATGCTGGCTGAGGTGTTTAGGGGTGAACTGTACTACAGCTTACGTTGCAGTTCATTAAAAAATAAGGTGGAAAAAAAAATAAGGTGGTATCTTCCAACTGTTTTGAATACTTGAAAACTTTCATAATAAAATGTTGGGGGGGGAAAGCTATACACACTCATAAAAAAGTGGGGATGGGAGACAGGAATGTTGCACAAGGATTGCATTGCTTCCAGATCATCATCCAGGACTGGCACCCAGGGTCTTTCTTCTGCCAGCCTTTCTCTGACCAGCCCACCCTGCCCCACAGAAACACTGGCCCTTTTGTAAACCACATTCAAAAGGCTACCTCCAGGGTACTCATTATCCATTCATTGATGACATATTAATCACGTGTTCTGTGCTCAACCATGTGCCAGACAAAGGATAGAGTCAGACTTGGTCCCCGCCTTAGTAGTGTTTGTCATCTATGGAGGCATTGATCAGGAAGCTGTGAGTTTATAAGCCCAGGGTGCCAGGGAAGTGGGCCCAGGCAGTCCTGAATAGGTGGACCCACACTTACTGAGAACTTACTACACACTGGATTCTGTTTGAGTTTAACCTGGATTAATTCAGCTAATCCTCATAACCACCCCATAAGGTGGGAACTGTATTATCTGCATTTTACACATCAGGAAACTGAGGCCTGGGGAAGTTAAGTCCTCATTTGTCCATGACTATACAGCAATGACTGAGCAGGGATTCAGAAACCAGGAAGCTGGGACTGGAGCCCATGCCCTAAGCCAGGGGTCTACAGACTTTTTCCAGAAAGAGCCAGAGAGGAAATATTTTAAGCACTGTAGACCCTACGGTCTCTAACTACTAGACTCTGCAACTCTGCCATTGTAGTGTGAAAGCAGCTGTAGATAATACATAAATGAATGAACTGAGTGTCAATAAAATTTTATTTACAAAAACAGGCAGTGGGCTATATATGGCCAATGGGTCATAGTTTGCCAACTCCTGCCCCAAACCACCCATAGTTCCCAGTGGCTGGGAGGCTTTTGAGTTGGACCAAAAGCAACTGAAGGAACGCTAATGCCTGACTGTTGCTTTCCTGGGAAAGTGTGGGAGTCAGATAGCAAGGAATCAATGCAAACTTCAAGAGCCCAGTCTCTAACAATGACAAACAAAAATACACTCCTGGGAGCGTGTGGCAGTCTGTCACTAAAGGAAGCTGCAGAGAAGAGGAGAAAAATATGCGGGAACCACACAAAAGTTTGTTGTCTTTAGTATTTAGAGCCATGTTTAGACTTTCAGCAGCACAATTCTTTAACACTATGAATGTAGGAAAAGTAAAGTTCAAAGGCTTTGCTTGGATGTGATTCATTTTAAAAAGGCTTCGCCAAAGAATTTTCCTGCTTGCAGCTTTGCTCTCACTGGTTCTCAGTTTCTTAAGGGCAGGAAATCACTTTACTAAACTCTTGTTGCTGACAAGGATTGACCCTGGAGCTCAGAGGGTGAGCTGGGCTGGGAGTGCATTGGCCTGCCCTCTTCTTAGAAGAATCCATGCAGCGTTAAAAATTAAGAGCTCAAAAGGTTTCCTGAGTGCGTGTTCACAGTTTCAGGGTCAACCCAAGGACCATGTGACTGACGACAGCCCCAGTAGGCTCTTTCCTATTCTGCATGGGGGCCTCCGTCTTGCTCTAAGGAGCCCCCCTCCCCTCTTGCACACTGGCCAGGGTACACGGGGGATTGTCATAGAGTCAGTGTAGACAGAATACTTTGGGGACAAGCATTTGTGATGTACTCCTGGATATTAGCCTCTTTATTCCAACACAGCTGCTGAAAGGAAACTCTATCCATATCCAGGCTGAGGGTCTGCAGGAAGTTAAGCTACCAGATGGACTGAGATGGCCGATTCCTCATTTTCCCACACTGAATTCACTGGGTCAACCCATTGCTCTAGTGTCACAGAGATAAGATTTGAATCCTTTATTCTTAGGAAGGCTTTTGGTGGTTGGACTGAGCAGATGGTTGACTCACAGATCATGCAGGCAGAGGAGAATTGTCCATTCCCTCTGTGGACATTGCTTAGAGAGATGTGTTATGCTCCCAGGCCCACACAGAAGGGTTGGCTGTTTGGGACATATGGTGTACTGTCATCAAAAGATGAACCGAGCACCCACCTATGGAGACACCCCCTTGTTCTCATGCACACACCTCGGGGATGAACTGGTGAAAGCGCCGCAAGAGGTACCTTGAACTTTGTCAGAAAGTCCCCAAACTACTCCTAATAATCACCACTCCATTCTCTAATAGATATGATCAACCTGCCTCACTTTTCTTTCTGTGAACACAGGTGAGCCTTTGACTCACAGCAGGACAGTGTACATGGGGTGGGGGACGCATGGTCCCCAAACCTGGATGCATGTAAGAGTTTCTAAGAGAACTGGTGAAAAATGAATGTCAAAGTCCCATCTCCAGAACCCTTGGAGATCAGAAGTGGAGTTAGCCTTAATACTTTCTCTAAGTAAGTGGTTCTTAAACCCCTGGAGGGTTTGTTAAAACACAGATTGATGGGCCCCACCCCTATAGTTTCTGATACAGGGTGGGGCCTGAGATCCTGTATTTATAACCAACCCCCAGGTCATGCTGCTGCTGCTGGTCTGGAGGGGTGAGGGGCACTCTGAGCACAGCTGCTCTAAGGCATACCTCCTATCTCAGGGCAGCTAGCCTCATGACCTAGCAGAAGGGACTTCCTCTCTGCACTGTGGAAGAAACTCTAAAATTTTTGTCGACCAGGTGGGCCCGTTACTATTCTCTACCTGCTCTGCTGGATACTGTAGCCACTAATCACATGTGGCTCTTTAAATGTAAATTTAAATTAATTAAAGATAACAATAAAAATTTTGTTTCTCATATGAACCAGCCCCTTTCAAATGCTCAACAGCCCCATGTTCCAAATGGCTGCTGTATGGGACATCACAGATGTAGGACATTTCTATCATTGCCAAAAGTTCTACAGGACAGCACTGTTCTATAAGAATTCCAAAAATTGTTTCTCTTCAAAGCTTGGCTGTTAGCCCATTGTATTACTGTGAAAAATAAAGCAAGGAAAATCCTTTTACAAATACCAGAAACAGAATAACTCTTTCCTCTTTGCTCACGATAGCAACCCTCACCCACCTCTTCGTATCAACTTGCGGGGAAGGTCACAGACATTTTAATGCAAAAGAGATAAAAACTTTAGTAATATTTTTCAAAATATTGCACCCATCACCCATGTTATTAAATTTATTGAACTCCCTTGAGATGAGGTCTACAGGGAAGAGTTGTGGGCAACAAGAATCTAGCAACACACATGGAGAATTTAAGTGGTCATGGGGCAGTCCCATGGGCATCACTGCTGGAAGGAAGGATGGGTTAGGCTGAGTGGACTAGACCAGGATGTACTCTGGGTATTTTAGGAAAATTCATGTTCCTACTGCAAGCTGCAGAGCATGGCTGCCGAGACTGCCTTTTGTTTTACATTCCAGAAATTTGGACTCACTCCTGCTCGTAGATGCTTGAGTGCCCTGCACTAAGTGGATGCCTTTTTGGAAGCCTAACTCTGTTTCATCCTTTCTTACAGATTCGGCTGAACAGCAGGGGACTGATCTACTCCGTGGGCCTGCTCCTGGCCTCTGTCTTTGTCACGGTAGGTTTGTAGCTCTTTCCTTACTCTTGAGATCCCATGTTCTCCCTCCCCCACACTCCCTTGGGCTTCTTTGGCTACGGAGCTTGTTTGGACACCAGATGGGCTTGGCCTCCTGGTGGATCAGGACAATCGGCCTCCAGATGTTCCATTGCCTTCATAACTGTTTCTTCTAGAAGTGGATCCTAGCAACCCACTAGAAAGCCTTCTCTCTTTCTGAAAGGAGACAGCCTTCTCCCAGAAGCATGGCCCTGTCTTAGGTCAAATACAAATCATTTTATCAAAAACAAAGTGGAGATCACACTTCTTCTGCAAGAGTACCCACAGAAGGCTAGTTTCTAATTAATTGATTGTTCCAGTTTACTAAACAGCTCCATAAATCCATGGATTTGACCAATGCTCAGTGACTAAGAATATATTTTATTGACAGTGCACTTCTATGCCATTCCACTTGTCTTGGCCATTACATCCCTTTGTATAACGTAAATATCCCAACTCAACTTACACATATGGCAAACAAATTTGCACCAATGCATGGACTGACCCACATGAAGTATCCACTAATGTACAACTATACTGTTGAATTTTATATTAATAAACATTGAGACACACTATGTTTTTTCCTGAAATTTTCATGGAAATAATAATTGAATTACACCTAGCATGTTAACATATACTGGGGGTGTCAAAAAAATGTATGCATGTAACTTGTATTCATCTTTTGTTATTGGTATATATTGAGTATTACAATTTTAATACAGTTTTTTCCTTTCTTAAAATTTGTATACATTTTTGGCACCCTCTGTATATGCTAGAGAACGGGAATTCAGAAGGACAGGCAGGAAACAGAAGAGGTAATTTATTGGATCAGGATGGGAGTCAAATGTCACGGTTTTACCAAAGAAATATGGCCTTATACAAAAGTGAAAATCTATATAATTTATTCTTTTGTGTCTTAGAGGTTCTTTGGGCCTGGTATGACTTAGGGTTATGATACTTGTAATAGCTACACATTATTCTTAATGGTTTGCATATATTTTTCCATTTGGAGCTCACCACACCCCCATGAGGTAGTCACGAACATCAGCCCCATTATACAGATGATAACTGAGGCCTATAGGGAAGTTGACTCCACATGAATGAAGGAGCAAGCAGTATCACATCAAAGTGCATGCTTATAGCTACAGTGCTTCTACTTATGCTGTGCTATGGTTTTATGATCCATAGGAGATTGGCCTAACCACTATCTGGGCTGTCAGAATGGGATTATTGAAAGGTTGAACAGAATTAGGTTGGGGAAGAAGAGCAATTTCAAACATCTTAAGTGTGCAGTGCCTATTTGACACCCAAGGGAAGAGGTCAAGATAGTCACTGGGAAGATGAGTCTGAGTTCAGGAGAAATATCCAAGCCGGAGACACCAGAATGTAGATGGTATTTAAAGCCATGCAGTTGGATGCACTCACCAAGGGAGTGGGCATAGACAGAAGAGAAAAGAGGCCCAAGATTTGAGTCAGGATGATGAAGATAAAACCCCAAAAGAAACAGAGAAAGAGCAGCTGGAGAGGTGAGAGGAAAACCAGAAGAATGTGGCAACCGGAAGCCACGTGGAGAAGGCACTTCAAAGTGGAGTTATCTGCTCTGTCAAGGAAGAGGAATCCTGAGGTTGGCTATTAGGGTTAGAAGTGCAGAGTCACCTGTGCTCTTGACAAGGGTGGTTTGCAGAGTCACGGGGCAGAAGGTTGAGTAGAATAAGTTAACATAGGTTGGAGGGGAGAAATTGGAGGCAGCTGGTATTCAAAACTCTTTCAAGTTATCTTGCTGTAAACAATGGAGAGAAATGGAAATCCACAAAAAATACAGCTGTTTTTTAAGATGAGAGAGAGCAGCATTATGTATGCCAATTGGAATAATCCGGGGGGTGGAGGTGAAGATGAAAGAGGGCAATTTCTGGAACCATGTCCTTAAGCAGTACAAAGAGGTGGGATCTCATGCCCACATGGAGGAGTGGGCTGTGGCTGGTGGGTCCTCACTCACAGGAGGGAAGGTGGCAGGTAGACGTGGCAGTGGGAGCTCTATGAAATGGGAACGAGGTGACGAGCTGAGGGTGAGGGTAGAGAAGGGAATGTTGGGGGTTTGAGGAGAGAGGAGAGGCATGAAATAGCCATTTGGGAAGGGGAGAGATGGTGGAGTAAAAAATGTTGGATGATTGCCATAAAATGTTAATGGCCCCCTTAAGGTTTGTGGTCTTGAATTTAAAGTGAGACACATCAGCCTGGCTGGGCATTTTCCTCCAGCCTGGGTCAGCTGGGTGGAAGCAGGGTGGAGTAGATGGACGCTTGGCTTGAACCTAAGGGCTGTGGCTTAGCCGGCAAAGATGACAAGGCTAGAAAGGGGACAAGAAATGGAGATGGATGCCAGGAGTGACTGTAGCAATGGCTGGCAGAACTTAAGCGGGGTCAGGAGGGAATGGGGTGCAGGGTGGGTGAAATGCAGTGAAACAGTGTTGGTTCCAGTGGATTCTGGGTTGTAGGATCTGCAGAGTTCTGGGAATTGAGGTACCAGATGAAGCAAGCGGGAAAGACAGGAGATTTTGGGTAGAAAGTGGGATGTTTGACAGAGATAACAGAGCTGTTTCTGTTACTAGTAATAGCAAGATCTAAGCTGCAGTGCTGGCCAATAGAACTTTCCACAATGGCAAAAATGGCCTCTGGACAGTAGCCACTGGTCACATGTGGATATTGAGCACTTGAAATGTGGCTACTGCAACTGAGGAACTGAGTTTTTTTATTTTATTTGATTTATTGGGTCTTCAGAAAAGTCATGACATATTTTGTCTATGTTTTTCAAAGGTCATTTATTTATATAAAGAACAAAGATCAATCGATATATTGCCCGTTTTGTTCGATAACCTTTCACCATCTTTCAGTGAGCTTCATAATTCCTCATTCATAGAAGGACCTGTCTTTATTTGCGAAAAACTGAACAAGGTGCTGATTTACAGCCTCATCTGAACTGAACATTATACCACGCAAGGAGTTTTGAAGAGAGTGAAACAAGTGGAAGTCTGACGGCGCAAGCTCAGGCAAGAATGGTGGGTGTGGTAACACTCCCATCCAAGTTCCAATTATTTTTGACGGGTGATCAGCCTTGTGTGCGGTCTCGCGTACAACCTCTGGATGTTTCTGGATGAGCGATTCGTTCAACTGTCCAATTACCAACAGTACATATTCGAATTGATTGTTTGGTTCCTTGGTAGGAGCTCGAAAAACATGACACCTTTAAAATCCCACCACACTGAGAGAATAACTTTCCTCTGATGAATGTCTGTTTTCGATGTCGTTTGAGATGAATCATCACGTAGAGACCAAGACTGTTTGCACACCACATTGTTGTAAACAATCCACTTCTCATCACCAGTTATCGGTCGCTTCAAGAAAGGATCATTTTCCTCACGTTTAATGAGCATATTGCAGATGTTTACATACGCCGTCAAATGAACTTCTTGGAGTTCATGCAGAACCCAAATATCGAGCTTGCTTACGTATTCCAGCTTCTTCAGGTGGTCGTGAACGCTTGAATGATGGATGTCCAACGTTTCTGCAATCTCTCGTGTCATGTAACGTGGGTTTGACTCGATCAATGCCTTTATTTTGTCATCATCAACCTCGGTGGGCCTCCCTGACCAAGGAGCGTCGTTGAGATCAAAATCACCAGCACGGAATTTCATGAACCATGGTTGGCACTGACTTTCTTATAGAGCATTGTCACCCATAAACTGTATGCAACTTTTCACAAGCTTGACCCGCGTTCTTCCCTTTATGGAAGTAAAACAGTAAAATATGGCAAAAATGCATAGTTTGGTCTTCCATCTTCAACTTGTTGTAAAATCTGCAAAACTCAACCAAATCCCTCAATTTTTTTTAGAATGAAGCTAGAACTGTCAACTGTCCAATGACATAGCAATAACATAGATGTGAATGACTCTAGTACTTTCAAAAATGAACTAGGCCATGTGTTGCCAATATGTGTCATGAATTTTCCGAAGACCCAATACATTTAAATTGGGGTGGCAGCATGTGGCATTCTAGCGCAGATCTAGGATATGGCATGGAGTGAGAAACTGAGATAGGACAGAGGATATGGACATAAGAGAACTGGTATTGGGAAGATGCTCTTGGTGGATAGAAAAATCACTAAGAAGTGATTTCAGGAGTGCCAACAACAGGAGTGGCAGTGAGAGGGGACTTAAGGCTCTGAGGAATGCCAGGAGTGCCCAGAATTGACTGCAGCCCGGGTAGAGTGTGACAGTCAGGAGACTTTAGTGCTTTGGGGGAGAAGAGAAGGAAAAGGGTATGGAAGTAGCAGTGTGGAACGCCGGGAACAGCTTTCTGGCCTCCAGGCACAGGAAGAGGTAGAGATGTAGTCACCACCTGGGGGAGCTGTGGGGACGGCATCCTCAGGGAAAGCCAGGATCTGCTTGGGGCAAGAGGGGCAAGAGTCAGCACAGGTGCCAGCACAGAGCAGTGCGGGGTTGGAGTCGGGGGAAGAGCGGGGGCCACTGTGACTGTTTGCTACTCCCTTCGTTATCCTTTTTATTTTTCCACAACCTGCAGGTTCTCACTTCCATTCTTCTTGATTTTGGTGTTCTTAAACTTTCTGCAATGTGGGAGATGGACTTCCTGGGCCCAGCGAGAATGAGTGCCCTGTCCCAGGCCCCTCTGGCTGCTGCCCTCTAACCCCCTCTGTGTGTTTCAGGTGTTTGGCGTTCACCTGAACAAGTGGCAGCTGGACAAGAAGCTCGGGTGCGGGTGCCTTTTCCTATACGGCGTGTTCCTGTGCTTCTCCATCATGACAGAGTTCAATGTGTTCACCTTCGTGAACTTGCCCATGTGTGGGGAGCACTGATCTACTGGGCAGCCTGCCCAGGCTCAGTTCCTTCTTCTCTGTGCAATACAAGACCCGGCCACACTTCGAGTCACTCGGGACCCCAAGGCCGGGCGTCCTGTCTGTCTCTCCCACGCTGTTCACAGGCCTCCGCTCCTGCCTCGGTGGCCCAGGCCCTCCCTGCCCCTTCCCTCGCTCCTCCTCCTCCTTGGGTCCTACCTGCCACCCAGCCCTTCTTGCTGCCCCCTTCCTGCCTCCTCCTTATGAAGACTTTGAACATCCGCGTGAATTTTCAAGCTCCATTTGGAACAGTGACTGAGATTCTAGAAAAACTGGCTGCTAACTGGCCCAAGCCAGGCAAAACTTATTATAATCCCTCCTCCTTTTTTAAGTTATTGGATGGAAGACTCATCTAATTTATGACCTGAGACTGTCGAAGAGATAGCAAAGAGAGGGTACATTGATGATATAAGGAGTGTTTGCGATTTTGTTATGTTTTGAGGTGATTCCTAGGTTTCTGGGTTTGGGGAGTTGTTTCACTTTGGGTGTTCCCCTTTTTACTCCTTTTCTTCTGGAGATCGAGAGCTTCTCTTGCAACTTCTTTCACTGGGCTCTGGTTAGTCGATGATCCACAGGTTGTCCTTGCCGTGTCTTGGGATCAAATCCCAGGCACATTGGAGCATACATGGATCTAGTGCTTACCACCAGGTACAGATGCATGGCATTTTATACCTAAGGATGCCCCCCACCACAGTCCTATAGGCTTTACCTAGGGTGTGTAAGGTTTTCTGAGGAAGAAGACAGCTTCCTACACGTCCATTGTGACCTTCACTTTCTCACTAGGTTCTTTCTAGTTTCTCAAGCAATAGTTCTAGCCTTCCTGAAGCCTTTGACGAGGGGCCCTGGTTAAACATCTATCCATGAGGTGGCCGCAGTCAGCGGCAGAAGTTTCCCAACCTGTGAGTCCCTGAGATGTGCTCTCATTGCTTGACACTTGGGGTGACAGGGAGTGACCCAGAGGCCGCCACTGCTTTTCATGCAGGAGTTACAGACACTGGTTTCTTGGAAAATGGAAAGAAGCGCACTTTGCACAGACATCGTCAATAAAGTCCCAATTTGCCACTCGGTATTGTGTACACTGGACCCTGACAGCTGGCTCTTGGGCCTTCCTCCAGGTCGCAGAGACCAAGCTGTCCCAGCTCCACCCATTCCCTCTTGGAGGGATAAGCAAGAGAAGGAGAAAACGGAACTGACACCTTTGAAACCACAGAATGTGTTAAATTGCAGACTTGATCAAGGGCATAAATTATTGTGAACGTTGTTGCCAATCACTGCTCAACAGCCCTGCTAGATTTTGTATGATGCTGAATTATTATGCAGACTAATTCCACCAGTTGAGACCCACCATGCTTGTTACACTTGTATTTATTGAAACTGTGGATTCTTGCCCGTGCTCCCCTTGTATTTACTTTAAGCACTGATCACTTATAATTCGTTCGGTATGGTTTTCCCTGCCCCTTGTACACATTCTGGTATGAATTATAAAAATAACCTGATACAAATTGGTTGAATATTTCTGTTGAGGGTGTGAAACGAGGCCAGCATCAGCCAGTGAGGCACCTGCCTGATGGAGGACCAGGAGAGGTAATCACCAATTTGGGCTCTCAGAGCTAAGATACACTTACTGATTCTGTTGCACATTTTGCACTGGTTTATGGCGATTGTTTTCTTGGACAGATAGTGTAAAATAAACTTCTCTGTTCTGTATCCTCCCTGGAGCAGCACGCATTACTTTCTCCTTGGATTGTGGAGTGTTGCCTGCTTAACACTAAGGAGTATGCATGGAAGGGGAAAAGGTCGCAGTCTGCCGTGGGCCAGGTGTTTGCCTTCTGTTTCTGGGTCGACTCATCTGGAAAGCTGGTAAATGTTGGGTGGATTGCAAGTATGAAGTCGCAAATCATGGGTCCCCCTCTAAATCTTGAAGGGACTTTGGACATATTGTCCTGTAGAATACATGTAACATTATGTTAGGATTCTTTCTTTCAGCTGGACATGAGAGGAAGAATATGCCAGTACTGACGATGACCTTCAGCAGTGCTCAAGGTCACCATCCTGTCTGATTTTACTAGTTTTCAGTTGTGAAAATTAAGACTTCCCCAAATCCAATTCCTTAGAAAAGACAATAACACATAGTCACAATAAGCTACATTCTTCTCCTGCTTGACTCTCGAGAAATAATTACCCAGATCTAAAAGTGGACCAAAATTACTGAGCAAGTCAGGTTTCCACCTGAAACTCAACATTATTTATAGGAAATAGAAGAAAAATAGCTACTAATTAACAGCATCAACTTTTATTTAACTATATTTAAAAATGTATTCCCAGGTGGTGGAAAAATACTAGGTACTTAGCTTTGCTTTTAGTGTTTACATCTAAAAATGTCTTACTACTTACTATATTTATACGTTTTATAAATATGGACATCTGACAGGGAATTTTCATTATGCGAATTGGTGCTTACAAAGCATAAGATCCTTTTACATAATATTTTGTTATACTCATCTTAATTAATTTTACTCTGAGACTTAAGCAAAGACATTTGATCTGAAGACATTTGATTTTTTTTTTTTAAGATTTTTCATTGAGGAATTGGGGGAGGGGAACAGCGTTGGGGAATCGGGGAAGGGGAACAGACAAGTTGCTGTCCTTTTGTTCTTCAGTCTAGTTGTGGAGGACGTTACTTCACTGGCCCATGTTGGTATTGTGATCATTGCACTCTTCNCTGTCCTTTTGTTCTTCAGTCTAGTTGTGGAGGACGTCGCTTCACTGGCCCATGTTGGTATTGTGATCATTGCACTCTTCCCAGGTGAGGCAGATTCGTCGCCAGCTTCTGGACGGCCACTCACAGCGGCTCTTGGCAGCTCACACCGGCTGCCGGCTGCTCATGCTGGCTGCCAGCCACTCATGGTAGCTTATGGCAGCCCACTGCAGCTCCACTGCAGCCTACGCCAACGTCGGCGACTCACGGCAGCCCAGCTCCAGGTCGAGCTGCCGTTCACCATCTTAGCTGCAGAGGGCAGTGTCACTGGCCCTCATGTGGGACCCGAACTGGGGCCCTTCTGCTCAGAGCTGGCGTCCCATGCCAGCTCTTAACCAACGCGCCACTCAGCCGGCCCCTGATTTTTTTTAAACACATTTGCTGTGAATTTTTAAAAACCATAGTTCCATTTTCTCAGAGAGGTAATTCTTGGATGAGGTAGAGTTCCCGTTTTTCATGCACGATGACTGCCAACCTAGGAACTGCAAAGATTTTCTATCTGAAACCTTTTGGCCTGCTTCTGCTCAGATCTCAGCCATGCGTGCTCATGTCTTGAATTGTCAACTGAGAATGTGGTTATAAGTGAGCTGGCCGTCCAGCAATGCAGACCTGCTGTTGTTGCTGTTTTCACCTCTTCCACTCAGGAGGGGTTGGGATGGGTTTGAGGGAAGAACTATTTTTTAATATCCCAAACCTAGCAGCATCACCAGAGAAACCCTCTCAGCAATTTCCTGGGATGTGCTGGTTTCAGCGAACTCCTAGGCTGTGACCTCATGCACAAGAGGGCCATCTCTGTGGCCCTAAACAAGGGAAGTTCACACTGGAGCTTGCACCTCCTCCTGGACACATCCTAGGTGACCCCACAAGGAGTCATCACAGGAATGTCCTCCTTTTCTGGGAAGTGTCTTCTCAACTTGGCCCAGGCCTGCCAAAGGTCACTGTCCACACACATGCCCTTCTGGTGGCCTCGGGTACACAGAGAAGCCAGGACAAGGGGAACTTTCCAGATGGCTTTTTCCCCTTCCCCAAGGAAAATGCTGACCAACCTTTATAGGGAGAGCACTTTTATAGGTACATATTTAGTATTTACCTACAAAAAGACCTGGAAGGCTGTTTATTATGTGTTCCTACGTCCGTTGCTTTGGAACTCATTGTTTACAGTCATAAATTTATATGCTAGGGATTTGAGACTCTGTATGTCCCAAACAGCACATCTGAACTCATTTCAAGTACCCAGGCTTCAGAGAAAAGCCTCAATGTAAAAAATAAAAAAAAAATTTTTTTAAAAGGAGGGAGGGGGAGATAATATTGTAAAGCTCAGTTTTCAATTGTGGCATATAAAATAGGAATAACATCAACTTGCAATAAATGTTATTAAATGTAGCCTTAGAACTTCACATGAAACTTTGTTCATGAAAATATTCAGATTCTTGGGAAAAAATATAAGTGGGATGTTGCTGTTTCTGAGATTTATTTTCACCTTTGCAAAATAGGATAATTATCCCATTAACAGATAATTATCCAAATATTCTGAACCATTTTGATCAACTATTTTGAAGTAGATGAGCCATTTCCATGTTGAATTTCAAGTAGTCTCATACTGATTAATGAGTCTCATTTATTTTGTTACTTTCTGCAATGGCTGCTCAACACACTCACATCATCTATCTGAAACCAAAACTCTGTATGAAAACAGTCCAATAGATCTTCAAAATTTTCCCAAATATCCAGCTGTCTATTCTGATACATCTGCAGGAATGGGGTGAATTCAGCCAACTTGTCTCTGATAAATAAAAATCCTTGTGTCCATTGCATCATCACCCAAAGGTGTGGGTGTCTGTAGAGAACCAGAAAAAGTCAGGAACAGGCTATGGACAAGCAGAGATTAGCAATGTGCACAAGATAAATTATACCATGCCCCAGAATTGATTTCACATGGAACTTTATGCTTAGTTTCAAAACACAGGGTAGAGTAATAAGACTCCACTAAAGTCTTTCAGATGGCTTATAGGACATTTATTTCCTTAATAAAATATACCCAGTAGTCCCATTAACTTAAGAAGTTTTTACTGAACCTCAATTTAGTAAACACCCTTACCAAGCTGTAGAGATTTTAAATAGAATAATCATAGTTAATGCTCATTTTGTTTTTGGTCTTTGTTTTTGCAAAAGGTCAGAGGGGAGGGAAGACTTAAGATTACAGTTTCAAAATATATGCCATTTAAAGCATAAATTGTATTCATTTACATAAATGCATGCATATATACATGAATAACATTTTTTCTTTACATAACTCCCAACTTATCCTGTTTATCAAAAGCTGAATTCAGTGATGTCACATCTTTTGATTTGTTGGGATAATTAATGCATTACCTGAGTCCAGAAAATTGAATATATTAATAAAACCTGGAATGAAACGTGACGAGGAATCTCAGAATCCTTGCAGTTGTTTTTTGGATACTTCTGAGTCATGCCTACAGATCATTATTAAAAAAGAGATGCTCTCATGTGCAAAAAATACTTTTACCATAAAACTAATGTTTTTAATTTCTTGCCAAAAAATATATATATCCTCTTGGTTTCATATCTTTCTTTATGATACATAAGTCAGATGTTTCATCTCCCTCACATGATTGAAGAAGATGATTTGTTCTTCAAACACTAGATACTAAGCCTGTGCTCTGGTCAGTCACCATTACCCTCACCTCCAATGGGTTTGAACCAAATGCCCACTGCTTTTTTTTAGGATAATTTATTTTGTCTACTGGTTACAGGTCTCTGAAATACTAGTTCCAGAATATCTAAAAATTTCTTGTCATATCAGGTGGAATTGTTTCCTCCAGTTGCTTAAAAGTTAAATATTATATTCACTGTCATATTTTTTTAAATGCATTTACTTGGATTTACTCATTGTCTAAATCAGTGTTTCCCAAATTTAAGCGTGCATCAGAATCACCTGGAGAAGTACTAAAGTACAAATATCTAGGCCCCATCCCTGAGTTTCTGGCTTAGTAGGTTTAAGGATAAAGCCAGAATTTGCATTTTTCACCAACTCCTGGATGCTACCACTGCTGGGGCTGGGACCCACTTTGAGAACCACTGATGTAAACAATATTCTTTGCCCATAAAGCCACGTTTTTCCTATACCAGCCTCCACCAGTATCTTTGGTTTATAGCTTATGGAAAATACATATACACAGAAATATACTATTTCTTTCAAAATTATTTTTTTCTCTCTGCTTCCACTGAGATGCATAACTGTCTAAAAGTAGGAAAAGAAACACCGTCAACTCTTCATAATCTACATTCTATATCCTCCTGCATGTCAAAAACAACTCTTAAAATTGCTCCCAGTCAAAACAACTTTTAAATTAAAATCAAACCAGATCAAAGTAAATGGTTTAAGATGAAGATGCTGGAAAGCCAAGATTCTGCATGGACTATTAGCTTGGTTGATATGGGAGCCAATTTCATTGAAGGTGAAAAAGATTTTGTTCTAAACTACAGTAAGAGAAAGTAACAATGAATACAGGAGAAATTTTCTGCACATGAGCACCTCATATTTTCACATGACAGCCATGTATAGCAAACTTCTAATCTAAAAATGTTATTTTGGTGCAAATCCATCTGACAAAGATGTCATGGCTCAGAAAAGAAAGAAAAGGCTTGCACCTGAGTTGGGCATTATGGCCCAAGTGCTTCAAACAATCACACGTGCCCGCATCGTGATCTTGCCTAAGAATCAGAAGCAGAACACCCCTAGCTTTGCATTCTGCCTGGGGCTTGAAACTTCCATTGACTGGTGGTGGCCCCATCAGCTTCTGTGTAAACAGTGACTGCGACCCTCAGGTGAGAGACAGGCATGGGCATGGTTTGTGCCTATGGATAGCCTCTAACTGACTTAGGCTCTTGGCTTATCCAGAAGATCCTCAGGGAACACAATGTACTCCAAAA